AAAGAACACCCACACAGGCACGGGGAGAACAAGCAAACTCCACACAGGAAGGCCGAAGCCCGGATTCGAAACCTGGACCTCTACAATGTGACGCCGGCGTGCTAACTAATCGCCCACCGTGCCACCTACATGATGCTTCTTTATTTATTTTTTTTACCTGCACACAAACACCTCAACAGGCCGCAGGGTGTTTGGAGTCATGATCCACGGTGCCACTCTGAACACAACGGTGTCTGTGAAAATGGGGGTCTCGGGAAGACCCTGTCATCATAAGCGAGAAATTGGCTAAGAATAACATGATTCTGGGTCCCTCAAAATTCACTCTCACTTACTCTACAGATGGGCTCCAGCAGACTAAGGTTGATAGTGATGAGCCCGTCAAAGTCCTTGTCCGGAAACCTGAGACCCTCCACGTAAAAGCTAGTCTCGGCTACACCCCCGAGGTATGGCACTTGCCCGGACAACACGCGGCTGGTCAGCACTCTCGTAAAGCCGCTCGATACGCCGGCTAAAATAAAGACATATTTTTGTTCATTTTATTAAAACAGCTCACATGATTCACAATGCGTTTGTTTTCTTTACTCACGCAGGAAGTTGCTGTACGAGTGAGGCCTGGGACTGTAAACTCTGATGCTCTCCGCATCGCTCTGAGAGATGTGCATGGTGAGCTTGTAGCCGTCCGGGAGCTTGGCGGGTCCTCGCGTCCGCAAAACCATCTCAGACATGTCCCGGAGATCTGCACAGAAAGGCCACAACATTAGCTACACCTCAGTCCTTCCATCCATTTTCCCATATGCTTGTCCCCATTACAGTCAAAGGTAATTGCAATCCCAAGCAGGGCATATATGTAGAAAAAACCTTTCACACCAATGAAAAATTTAGAGTCTTCAGTGAACCTAACGTTAATTTTTTTGGACTGTGGAAGGCAGCTGGAGTATGTGAGGATCCCAAAACTCTTTCAAAGGATTTTACATTCAACTATGACATCAACTTTACGGATTTGACATGCACGTGGGACCAAGATTCTGTGCTTTCCACTAACAACCCAGGCTAAAGCAGTTAATGTCTCAATCGCGGTGTATCACTCCAATGAGTCTTCTTTGACATCAATTACTACTTTTGTATTCACAGGGGCTTTGGCGCCATCCTGTAAGATCTTAGGGCATTACAGAGGAATAAGAAAAATATGGAATTTCAGTTTGGGTTTTTTTCTGCGAATGCCTGAGTATAGGTTCCACAGAAAAAAAAAACAATTTGCGCGCGGGGGTTCACTGGAGCTAAATAATGTATCTAAAATATTAAAAACTACAATATGTTTGATACAATGTATCTGTACACTTGTACAAACGACAACTACAATAAAACTACCTAAGCTTTCAATTAAAACAGAACATCCCTGGCTGTGTTTGTAGGTATGTACTTGCTTTTGAAATATGTCCTTAAGTAGGATAAAGAAACGGAGGGGTAGTGCATCTTCTTTACCAGATAATTTGGCGATGTAGTCCACCTCGGTGTCAAGTTTTTTGCCATAGCGTCGCTCAGAATCACAGTTGACCAATAGGACGGCTCCATGTCCATCGGGACCCCATTTCCAAGACCCCTAAGAGCAAAAGTATAATCAGTATACATTAGGGTGGTCCATTTTGGAAAAGTTTGTCGGATTCGTCGAGCCGGGTCGGAAATCTTGTCGATACTATGACACAAGGATGTGTGCAAAATTTTATTCCGATCGGATAATTTTATCCCGTCCCGCAGAGCGACCAAAGTTTCCCCCCGACGCACTAATCAGTCGACAACCGGATCGCAGAAGCAGTATTCTGTTTATTACATCGTCCTTTATCCTTTTACTGTAAACTTACAGTATCATTCTTTTCTCTCGTAAATACCTCCAGGGACGTATAAATCAGGCAACAGATGGCTGGAGTTGAAATGTATCATTTCAGCACAACGCAGGGTATCGTGCTGCGACTTGCATTCAGATTTGGGCCTTGAGGTTTTTACACTGACTGACAATTTAATAGGTGTGTCTGTACTCAGAATATATCTGGCTTTAAAAAGCATTTAATGCTCTGCTTTGATTTAGTCAGAGAAGTAGTCATTTAACACTCACACGTTATGGTAGTTGTTGTTTCGTACCTATGAAAAATCTGTATTACATCTTCTTGTTTGTCACGTAGCGAATCGATATAAAAGTTCGAAATTGAAACGTATATGAGTTGTCAGGGTTTTGAGAATGGCACATTTATTGAAACGTCATACTCGAGCTGCAATGCATCAATGGTTGGTTACGGTGGGTGGGTTTGTCCCATGAAATGGGGCTGACTTTTGTTTCCATGACAACTGAGAGTGATGCGACCATTTAAATGCTTTTTTTTTTCCAGACTTGCAGCAAATGTAGCACATTTTTATGGTATTTTTGGAGAAACATCACTGCCTCCAGAGCCAGTGATGTTCACCCCTTTGTGTCCAGATTGGAAATGAATGGCACTTGACCAAAGCCAGTACTAGTTAATTTAATTTGGTCAGAGTACAGTAATCCCTCGTTTATCGAGGTTAATGGGGACCAAAACCACTCGCGATAAATGAAAATCCGCAAAGTAGCGACCCCCCCCCTCTCCATATAGGTACATGTACATAATATTAATAAGGCCAAATTTAATGGTATACATGCATGTAGAAGTAAATTTTGAAGTAATTAACATGACTTAATGTTGTGTATTAATAGATTTAAACAAAATACAGTAAACATATAATTTTTTTTTTTTTTAAGCCCGCAAAAAGTCCGCAAACGGTCCGCAAGAAGCTGCGAAGGTCAGCAAAACAAAAGCGAGTCACATAGAGCAACATATACAGTACTGTACTACATGTATGTGATTCTTTTTTTTTTTTTTTTTAAATGAATATGTTTGAAAAAAATCCACGATGCACTGAAGCCGCGATAAACGAACCGCGAAATAGCGAGGGATCACTGTAGTCATGTTGGCACTTGAGTTCACCTTATTGGGGTTGTTTTTCTCCACAACGCCATCTCGGTCAGCATCCACATCAAGAGAGATCTCTGTTTGACAAACAAATTTCATGTGATTGAAATGTAAAAGAAATACACAACATTTTGTCACCAAATATGTTTTATCATGTTTTAGCATACCGAGTGCTGTCAGGTGCAGGATGGCATTGCTCAAAACGTCTTTATTCTGCCCGTAGTATCTGACAGTAAGCTTGCAAAATAAAAACACAAGGCAGGTTTACGCAAAACAGTATTAAAATCATCTTCACCGTCACATGCAGCTTCACTCCTGTCCTGTTACCTTGCTGTCGTTCTCATGTTGGCTGGCACTGCTCATCGTAATGAGCAGCACTGACTTTCCATCAAGGGTGATGGGGGAGAGGTGAGAGGTCACCTGGGTTGGTGGGTCAATGCTGTACTGAACATTGGGAGTGCATTTGACTGAGAAGAATGTGGAGTTGGGAGGTGCGCTCCTGTGGACCACATTTGACAAGGCAAGGCAGCTTTATTAAAATAGCGAAATTCATACACGGTGTGCCCTGCATGATTACATTTGAAAGCATTGGCACGCCAGAGAATTATGAAAATTGTAAAAGCAAAGGAAAGAAATAAAAACTAGCAAACTAAAATTACTAAAAGAACGTACAGGGCAAGAACAGCATTTCGGAAAAATTTGGGTCAAAATGCTTTTAAAGAGCTTTCTGATAGATTTGGGGAAAAATATGTACTTTTTAACCTGAATTAACCAGACAATGAGCGGATTTGTGAGTAGCGTTATTTAGCTCTCGGTTGTTCCCAGCAATTTATGCTGCAGTCTCATGACTTTATTTCATAAATAAATCATTTTTGTACCTGCTCTTAACCTTGTCTAGGTTTGTGGAATCTGCTCCTGGTCCGGAACCATAACAGAAGTCCTTTTTTCTGACGAGCAACTCGGACATCCGAGTTCAAAGGCTCATTGTACTTTTCCTGGTCAGAAGTCAGAAAGTCCGACTTCCC